AAAAATACACTACACGGGTAGTTTAGACATTAATAAAAAGTTTTCTAACATTTAAAATCTAAAAAGAAACTAAAGAAAAGAAAATTAAAAATTACTGAAAATTAAAAGAAAAATTAAAAATTACTGTTTTATAATTATTGTTTTTTAAGCGTGCATGTGATCATTAATTGAAAAACTGTCGAATATCGAATTTAGGGCACAAACGTTAAGCAAACTAGGGCCACCTCAGCTTCTTCAATTGATTTACCGGACACTGAGATGTTATAATATTATCGGCGAACAGCTATAATGTGTTTTAAGCAGTTTTGTGAATCTTTAATTATCATTTGATTATTGTTGTGAGGTGTGGGATCCGATTGGCAGTGTTTTATCTGATAAATTGCAGACTCTTTAAAATCGGGCAGCAAGAATAATTATGGGTTACCCAAATGAGCACGGATGCCCAGAAGCTGCTTTGACTGCGCTCGGGTGGGAAACACTTAAGGAACGTCGATTTGAATCGAAAGCCAGACTCATGTATAAGATTATTCATGGTTTTGCACCTACTGCGCTTACTGAAATATTTTCTAGTGCTTCAGTTGTCAGATCTCATGACTACAATTTACGTAATTCTGACATGAAGCTCAATCTTCCTTTTTCTAAAACGGAATATTTAAAAAAGAGTATAAGTTTCAATGGTGTTAAATTGTGGAACGATTTACCTATTGAAGTTAGAAACGCGGAAAGCCTAGGAATTTTTAACTCGCTTTTATGTGCAACTAACCTGTCACAATCTACTAGTTTGTAAATATTTAACTTTGTATATACGTGTCTTGTTGTTTATTATGTGTTTTAAATTTTTTCACCACGCCCCCCTTGGAAATCAATTTGTAGTTTCCCATTATCTTATTGAATTGATCTCGAACACTACGCTGATCTCGGGGCATGTCATGAAACAAAACAAAACAATTAAGATTGTCGGCTACTAATGTCCACTTTTGTCCTGCTTCTTTGCTTCCGGCCTTGTATAAGAAAGGTTCAGACACGTAAGCTTCACGCAGAAGTAAGGTGTTCCTTTCATTGCTCCAGCGAAAGGGCCCCCTAAAACCAAGGCATATTAGATAGTTTTTAAATAAATAAATTTGCATTCAAACCATTAATACCATTTCATATAAAGAATAATTAAATCAGACCATGTGTAACAAATGGCTTGATTATAATGAGTGCCAACTTGGCATTATGAGCTGTCTGAATTTGAGCCAGAAGTCTTAATTTGCTGCCTAGAGTACATCCCAGCAATTCCATTTAATATACATTACAAACCATTATAATATAACATGCGGAAATTCTGAATGCTGATTGGCTAAGAGCCGTGTTGACATAACTGAATGTCAACACGGAAAAATTTCCCACCGCTCTTTAAATTTATTTTAAGGTTGTACAGTATATTTCATTGTGCTATATTATAAAGCAAATATAAAACTTTTTTCCGTGTTGATATACAGTTATATCAACACGAGTGGAAATTGGGAAAACGAGAAATTGTGTGGAAACACGACGCCCAAAGGGTAAAACAAGTTTTTACTGTATATATCTAACAAAAATTTCAATCCCTTAAAGAAGAATGCTAGCTTGTATCTGGATATTAGAACATACCTATATAAGGGTGGGTATATACATGTACATGGGAATAGAGTAAATATCCAATGTGTTTTCTTTTATGTGGTCATTTGAATAGCAAAATCATTGCAAACATAATACATTCATAAGGTTTGTCTCCAGTATGTGTTCTTTTATGTCAACAAAGTTGTGTTGACTAAGCTCAGGTCAATTTGTTATACAGTATATTGATTTATGTATGTTTATCTTGTAGTAATTGTCACAGGTTGATAACATACAAATGATATAATATACATATAGTAATACTAATTGCACTGTATTAACATACAGTTATTAGTAATACCAATCTTGACAATGAATGTGATTTGCTTTATATTCCTGGCTAATTTAAAACACGTTTCTGATATCACAAGCAAAAAATAGCCATAAAATTCCACTTCTTAAATATACTTTATACCTGGAATTGTATTTTCCCAACCAACAAACCATTCAAATGGAACACATTAATGTCAAATGTGGTTGATTTGTTGATCAATAACGAGGTTAAAAATTCGATTATTTATATCTTAAAATACGCGCAGTATGAGGCACATTAAATTTAAAAAAAAAAAATTTCAACGCTTGATTTCAATATAAATATTGCATCCTGTCCACCTCTCCAACCTTGA